TTCAACAACTTTTCTTTAGGAAATTTGCTCAAAGTTTCTACAACTTTTCTTTAGAAAATTTTTTCAAAGTTTGAACAACTTTTGCTCCGAAAATTTGCTCAAAGTTTTGCTTTTCTTTTTTATAGGAAAGTTGAAGCAATTCTCATTACTTATTCTATAGAAAAGTTTAAGCAATTCTCATATATTTTTATAGAAATGGTGAAGCAATTCTCATCATCTTTTCTGTAGAAAAGTTCAAGCAATTCTCATCATTTTTCTATAGAAAAGTTTAAGCAATTCTCATTACTTCTTCTATAGAAAAGTATAAGCAATTTATCATTTTTATAGACAAATTGAAGCAATTCTCATCATTTTCTGTAGAAAGTTTTCTTTTTTTTATGTTTTTCTTTTTGAAGCAATTCTCATCATCTTTTCTATAGAATAGTTGAAACAACTATTATCATCTTTCCTATAGTAAAGTTGAAGCAATTCTCATCACTTTTCCTATAAAAAAGTTAAAAGTATTCTCAACATCTTTTCTATATAAAAGTTGCAGCAATTCTCATCATATTTTCTATAGAAAAGTTGCAGCAATTCTCAACATTTTTACTATAAAAGTTGAAGTAATTCTCATCATCATTTGTATAGAAAAGTTGAAGTAATTCTCATCAACTTTCCTACAGAATTCTAATCATCTTTTCTATATAAAAGTTGCAGCAATTCTCTTCATATTTTCTATAGAAAGGTTGCAGCAATTCTCAACATTTTTACTATAGAAAAGTTGCAGCAATTCTCATCATCATTTGTATAGAAAAGTTGAAGCAATTATCATCATCTTTTCTTTTTACAAGTTGCAGCAATTCTCATCGACTTTCCTACATAAAAATTGCTGCAACTCTCATTAACTTACCTAAGTAACATATGCTGAAATTCCCGTCAAATTTTCTGATGAAATTTTCTATGAAAAGTTGTGCAGAAACATTTGTCTAGGGTAAAACTCTGGGATTTGTCTTCCCCATCTACTGGCAACTCCCTAAACAAATTATACACATTTTCTTGTTAAAGCTCATAAACATGAAAATTTCCTATTTACTCTTCTGATATTGAACAAAAAAAAATCAACTGTTTCTTTATTTTTTTATGTATTTTTAGCTCTCAAAACGTGCTATTAAAATCGTTCTCTCTTCGAGAACACAGCTGTGTGCGGGTGCTCTCCGGCAACAAAAATAAAAAAGAGATATCACATATGCAGCGCTCTTGCTGTTGCCCGTTAATAGAACAACTGTTTTAGACAACCAGCAGCAGAAGTAAACCTGAAATTCAACTCATTACAGTTTAAGAAAACGCGCGCGTTGTGTAAAGACGACGTTGCTGTAGTAGTTCCGTCATTGTTTAAAAAAAATTTTCAGTTTTTTTATTTCGCATATATATATAAAAAAAAAATAACGAAAAAATACATGAATACAAGAAATAAAATACATACAAAAAATTAAATACAACTGGAAATAAAACAAAAAAAAAAATTAAAGATTTTTTTTTTCCCAAATAGAAGCAAGCAAACAGAAAAAAATTACGCAAATATTTATTAATAATGTTAAAACGAAAAAGCAATTTTTTATATAAAAATAAAAAAATTTCAAAATTATTAAAGCTTTACTTTGAGTTACAAGCAAAAAGTTGTATATGAAATTTAAAAGAAGAAAACAAAACAAGAATTTATTTAAGTTTTTTTTGTTAAAAGTTTAATAATAAAACTGTGATCTCATAAAAGGAAGAAAAGAATTGCAAAAAAAAAAAAGGTTAAAAGTGATTTTTGGGGAACTTTTTCTTATACAAGAAACTAAATTATGACGGATGCTTTAAAATTGGCTGAAATGCAACGCACAAATATTGAATTTGAACGTCAAAGACATTTGGCAAATTGGTTAATCAAAAGTAGTCCTCATATGGCAACGCCAACAGCAACAACAACAACTACAGCAATACAACAACAACAACAACAGCAACAACATCAAGCCTCTAATACATCAAGTAATAACTGTGGAACAGCAACAACAGCTTTAACTGCAGCTACAGCAGCAATCAGCAACAATACAACAACGTCAACCGCAGCAGCAGCAACAAATCCATCATCATCATCATCATTAATACCAGCAACATCATTATTATCATCTAGCAATAATGGAGCTACAACTACAACAAATAGTGGTGAGTTTTTTTGAACTTACTCTCTGGTAAAATACGAACATTTTTAACAGAGAGAGAGTGCAAGAGAGTGCAAGAGAGAGAGAGCTCATCAAGAGTGTTACAAAATAACGGTTACTAAGAGCTTTTTTTGTGTTAGAAAAGAGCAGGAAATTAAAAAGTCCCCTGTAGAAATTTACGAAAATTTCATCATTAAGTGTAATTTGTGCGTGTTAAAGCAACCAAATTCTTCATTATAGGCAAAAGTTGGCAAATGTGTGCAAATGTGTGCAAATGTTTGGCAAAAGTTTGCAACTCTGTGCAAATATGTGCAAAACATGTGCAACTACTAGTGTAAATAGCAAATATTGTTAACGAGTGCGTTTTATAGTTAATAAAGTCAAAGCAAATGTTATAAAAAGTTCCACCCTTAAAAAAAAACCTCTAAATATTAAATCAAAATCACTGCCCACCCTTAATTTTAAACGAAAGTATAAAAAATCACAAATAAAAGTAAACTAAACTAAAAAGTGCTTCAATCAATGTGTAACAACTGCAGGCGTTAGCGACAGTCTTTGAAATATTAAAAAAAAAAAAAAAATTAAATGAATTTTTCAATATAAACTATAATAAAGCGATAAAAGGTGATAAAAGTTTTCAAATAAGATGATGTGAAATATTAAAAAATTATAAAAGTTTTATAAATTTTATTACAAATTAAAGAAATTTTTTTTGAAAAAAATTTATAGAAATTGTGTTAAATTTACGAAATCTCTAACAGAAATCTCAAATCTAAACCAGTGCGTGTCTAAATTCGTTAAAAACATGATTTCCTTAAAAATTAAAATTTAATAAAATTTAATTTGATACAAACAAAAATTATTACTAACTAGAAATAAATTTTTGATTAAACAGAGAAACAGACAGAAGGAATCGCTAAATCGATGTCCGATTTTATAGAATTTAAGAAGCAAACTTCTATAATACATGTCTGATAAAATTATTGAAGAGATGAATCCCGAAGATATCATGGTTTTGTAGAAAATAGTTTTGAACAAATATACAGACAGACAGACGGATGGATGGATAGACAGACAGCGAAACACACAGAGGGAATCGCTAAATCGATGTCCGATTTTATAGAATTTAAGAAACAAACTTCTAGAATACATATCTGATAAAATTATTGAAGATTTGAGTCCCGAAGATATCTTGGTTCTGAACAATCTGCGGACAGACAGATGGATGGATGGATGGATGGATGGATAGACAGATAGAGGGAATCGCTAAATTGACTTTGTTATCTATAGGGATTCTGGTTTGAATCACAAAGATTCATGGTTCTGTAGAAAATTGTTTTCAACAAATATACGGACAGACAGACGAATGGACGGATAGACAGACAGAGAGAATCGCTAAATCGACGTCCGATTTTGTAGAATTAAATATGCATATGTGATAAAATTATTGAAGATTTGAAACCCGAAGATATCTTGGTTCTATAGAAAATTATTTTGAACAAATAAGTATACGGACAGACAGATGGATGGACAGACAGAGAGAATCGCTAAATTAACTTTGTTATCTATAGGGATTCTGGTTTGAATCCCGAAGATATCATGGTTCTGTAGAAAATTGTTTTAAACAAATATACGGACAGACAGACAGAGGGAATCGCTAAATCGATGTCCAATTTTGTAGAATTTAAGAAGCAAACTTCTAGAATGCATATCTGATAAAATTATTGAATAGTTGAATCCCGAAGATATCTTGATTCTGTAAAAAATTCTTCTGAACAAATAAGAAGTATACGGACAGATAGATGGATGGACGGATAGACAGACAGAGGGAATGGCTAAATTGACTTCTGAATAATTGTTTTTAACATATATACGGACAGACAGAGGTACAAACAGACGGACATTGCTAAATCGACATCGCTCTTTATGGGGATTCTGAATACACATGTAGAAAATGACGAAGATATCAAGAGTCTGAAGAAAATAGTTTTTGATAAATATACGGACAGATAGACAGACGGACATTGCTATATCGGACAGACACACTTGTGAACAGACAAACAGACGGACATTGCTAAATCGACAACGCTATCTATAGGGATTCTGAATACAATTCCGAAGATATCAAGGGTCTGAAGAAAATTCCTTTTAACATATATACCGACAGACAGATGGGCAGACAAAATCGTACGGACTTTGCTAAATCGACTTCGCTATCTGTAGGGATTCTGAACAATTGTTTTTAACAAATATATGGACAGACAGAGGTACAGACAGACGGACATTGCTAAATCGACATTTCATTCTCATATAGGGATTCTAAATACAGATATAGAAAATGCCGAAGTTATCAAGGGTCTCAAGAAAATTGTTTTTGACAAATATACGGACAGATAGACAGACGGACATTGCTAAATCGACTTCGCTATATATAGGGATTCTCAATACATGTATAGACAGACAATGCCGAAGATATCAAGGGTCTGAAGAAATTTTGTTTAACATACATATGTACATACGGACGGATGGGCAGACTAAATCAGAGGGACATTGCTAAATCGACATCGTTTTTAACAAATATAGAAAATGCCGAAGATATCAAGGGTCTCAAGAAAATTGTTTTTGACAATTATACGGACAGACAGACGGACGGACATAGCTAAATCGGACAGACACACTTGTGAACAGATAAACAGACGGACTTTTCTAAATTGACTTCGCTAGTAATAGGGACTTTGAATATTAAAGGTCTAAAGCAAATAGTTTTTAACAAATAAGTATACGGACAGACAGACAAGTGAGCAGATAAACTGACGGGCATTACCAAATTCGCTATCATATATAAAAATGTCGAAGATATCAAATATACGAACAGACAGACAGACGAACATTGCTAAATCGACTTCGCTATCTATAGAGATTCTTAATATATTAAGAATTTGATAATAGAATTGATAAAATTATTAAAGAATTTCTAAAAAAACGAAAACATTTAGATTTGTTTCTTAAAAAAAAATGTTCTATGACGAGTGCAAGCGAACGAACGGATGAACGAATACAGATGCTTGGACGAGTGCAAACAGAACCAATTAAGATTCTTCAACGGCCAACTTGCAACTAGTAATGTTATCATTATTTCTAGAAGCCGTTCTATAAAAGATTATTGTGATTCGAAAGTTCTTTCTAAAGAGTTTTTAAGGGACTATAGTTCTTTGTAAAAGAAAATTATTAAAGAATTTCTAAACGACATAGAAAGTTCGGTGAAATGGCAAACTAGTTCCAAAGGAATATCTTACAACCAGTGAAAAGAGCTTGAAAAAAACATTAAAGAATTTCTAAACAACTCAGAAAATATTTAAAAATTTATTTCTAAAAGAGAACAAAACTTGTTCTAGAATGTGTGCAAGCAGAACTATTTCATATTCTTCAGCAGCAAACTTGCAAATAGTGTTGTTGCCAATTTTTGTAAAAATATATATTAATTTCATCATTTTTTTAAAGATTGTCAAAAGGTAATTTTTAAGAGGGGAAATACCAGGAAAGATTATATTATGAGTTGATTCACATTAAATTTGGTGACGAAATTATAATTTCTCTAAAACTTGTTGTACCGAATTTCATCAGAACAGCTATGAGCATGAAAGTAAGTTTCTAGGGTAACAAAATAAAATCGTAGACCGATATGGCACACTTTCAATACCCAACCAAGAATTAAACGCTGTCGTTTTTTCACCAGATGGACAGACAGACATAAAAAAGGACAGACGGACATTTCAAGATTGTCTTAGAAAAAAGTGATATTTTAATAAAATATTTTTATTTAGAATGTAAACAAATTTTGGTGAAAAATCGTTCAGTCAAAAATGTTTTGCGGAAAAAATTTTGTGAAAAAAATTGTGATCAAATTTTTCTACAAACAAAAAGTTTATTTTGTGAAAATCAGTGCGTATAATTTTTGTGACACAAAGATCTAAAGTACAAAATACGAAAAAAATTTGTGATTATTTTAACAAAAACTTTGGTGAACAAATATAGAAAACAAAACACATATTTTTTAAATTAATGGAATTTGTGATTTTTTCTGTCGATAAAAACTTTTGTAAAAAAATGATTTAAAAAAGATTTCTAGAAATCATTTCTTTTTTAAGAAATAACACTTTGATACAAAAATTTTTCAGTTCTAGTTCAGTTCAAATTCTGGGTCCAAATTACGGCATTCGATATCGATCGAAATTTCAATAGAATCTAAATGGAGAATTCGATCGATATCGTATGCCATAATATGGGCCCTGTTCTAGTTCAGTTCTAGTTCAGGTTCTAGTTCAGTTCTAGTTCAGTTCGAGTTCATGTCTAGTTCAGTTTCTAGTTCAGTTCTAGTTCAGTTCTAGTTCAGTTCTAGTTCAGTTCTAGTTCAGTTCTAGTTCAGTTCCTAGTTCAGTTCTAGTTCAGTTCTAGTTCAGTTCTAGTTCAGTACTAGTTCAGTTCTAGTTCAGGTTCTAGTTCAGTTCTAGTTCAGTTCTAGTCAGGTTCTAGTTCAGTTCTAGTTCAGTTCTAGTTCAGTTCCAGTTCAGTTCTAGTTCATTTCTAGTTCAGTTCTAGTTCAGTTCTATTCATTCTAGTTCAGTTCTAGTTCAGTTCTAGTTCAGTTCTAGTTCATTCTAGTTTCAGTTCTAGTTCAGTTCTAGTTCAGTTCTAGGTTCAGCTCTAGTTCAGTTCTAGTTCAGTTCTAGTTCAGTTCTAGTTCAGTTCTAGTTCAGTTCTAGTTCAGTTTCTAGTTCCGTTCTAGTTCAGTTCTAGTTCAGTTCTAGTTCAGTTCTAGGTCAGTTCTAGTTCAGCTCTAGTTCAGTTCTAGTTCAGTTCTAGTTCAGTTCTAGTTCAGTTCTAGTTCAGTTCTAGTTCAGTTCTAGTTCAGTTCTAGTTCAGTTCTAGTTCAGTTCTAGTTCAGTTCTAGTTAATTTCTAGTTAATTTCTAGTTCAGTTCTAGTTCAGTTCTAGTTCAGTTCTAGTTCAGTTCTAGTTCAGTTCTAGTTCAGTTCTAGTTCAGTTCTAGTTCAGTTCTAGTTCAGTTCTAGTTCAGTTCTAGTTCAGTTCTAGTTCAGTTCTAGTTCAGTTCTAGTTCAGTTCTAGTTCAGTTCTAGTTCAGTTCTAGTTCAGTTCTAGTTCAGTTCTAGTTCAGTTCTAGTTCAGTTCTAGTTCAGTTCTAGTTCAGTTCTAGTTCAGTTCTAGTTCAGTTCTAGTTCAGTTCTAGTTCAATTCTAGTTCATTCTAGTTCAGTTCTAGTTCAGTTCTAGTTCAGTTCTAGTTCAGTTCTAGTTCAGTTCTAGTTCAGTTCTAGTTCAGTTCTAGTTCAGTTCTAGTTCAGTTCTAGTTCAGTTCTAGTTCAGTTCTAGTTCAGTTCTAGTTCAGTTCTAGTTCAGTTCTAGTTCAGTTCTAGTTCAGTTCTAGTTCAGTTCTAGTTCAGTTCTAGTTCAGTTCTAGTTCTAGTTCTAGTTCAGTTCTAGTTCAGTTCTAGTTCAGTTCTAGTTCAGTTCTAGTTCAGTTCTAGTTCAGTTCTAGTTCAGTTCTAGTTCAGTTCTAGTTCAGTTCTAGTTCAGTTCTAGTTCAGTTCTAGTTCAGTTCTAGTTCAGTTCTAGTTCAGTTCTAGTTCAGTTCTAGTTCAGTTTAGTTCAGTTCTAGTTCAGTTCTAGTTCAGTTCTAGTTCAGTTCTAGTTCAGTTCTAGTTCAGTTCTAGTTCAGTTCTAGTTCAGTTCTAGTTCAGTTCTAGTTCAGTCTAGTTCAGTTCTAGTTCAGTTCTAGTTCAGTTCTAGTTCAGTTCTAGTTCAGTTCTAGTTCAGTTCTAGTTCAGTTCTAGTTCAGTTCTAGTTCAGTTCTAGTTCAGTTCTAGTTCAGTTCTAGTTCAGTTCTAGTTCAGTTCTAGTTCAGTTCTAGTTCAGTTCTAGTTCAGTTCTAGTTCAGTTTTAGTTCAGTTCTAGTTTAGTTCTAGTTCAGTTCTAGTTCAGTTCTAGTTCAGTTCTAGTTCAGTTCTAGTTCAGGTCTAGTTCAGTTCTAGTTCAGTTCTAGTTCAGTTCTAGTTCAGTTCTAGTTCAGTTCTAGTTCAGTTCTAGTTCAGTTCTAGTTCAGTTCTAGTTCAGTTCTAGTTCAGTTCTAGTTCAGTTCTAGTTCAGTTCTAGTTCAGTTCTAGTTCAGTTCTAGTTCAGTTCTAGTTCAGTTCTAGTTCAGTTCTAGTTCAGTTCTAGTTCAGTTCTAGTTCAGTTCTAGTTCAGTTCTAGTTCAGTTCTAGTTCAGTTCTAGTTCAGTTCTAGTTCAGTTCTAGTTCAGTTCTAGTTCAGTTCTAGTTCAGTTCTAGTTCAGTTCTAGTTCAGTTCTAGTTCAGTTCTAGTTCAGTTCTAGTTCAGTTTTAGTTCAGTTCTAGTTCAGTTCTAGTTCAGTTCTAGTTCAGTTCTAGTTCAGGTCTAGTTCAGTTCTAGTTCAGTTCTAGTTCAGTTCTAGTTCAGTTCTAGTTCAGTTCTAGTTCAGTTCTAGTTCAGTTCTAGTTCAGTTCTAGTTCAGTTCTAGTTCAGTTCTAGTTCAGTTCTAGTTCAGTTCTAGTTCAGTTCTAGTTCAGTTCTAGTTCAGTTCTAGTTCAGTTCTAGTTCAGTTCTAGTTCAGTTCTAGTTCAGTTCTAGTTCAGTTCTAGTTCAGTTCTAGTTCAGTTCTAGTTCAGTTCTAGTTCAGTTCTAGTTCAGTTCTAGTTCAGTTCTAGTTCAGTTCTAGTTCAGTTCTAGTTCAGTTCTAGTTCAGTTCTATGTTCAGTTCTAGTTCAGTTCTAGTTCAGTTCTAGTTCAGTTCTAGTTCAGTTCTAGTTCAGTTCTAGTTCAGTTCTAGTTCAGTTCTAGTTCAGTTCTAGTTCAGTTCTAGTTCAGTTCTAGTTCAGTTTTAGTTCAGTTCTAGTTTAGTTCTAGTTCAGTTCTAGTTCAGTTCTAGTTCAGTTCTAGTTCAGTTCTAGTTCAGGTCTAGTTCAGTTCTAGTTCAGTTCTAGTTCAGTTCTAGTTCAGTTCTAGTTCAGTTCTAGTTCAGTTCTAGTTCAGTTCTAGTTCAGTTCTAGTTCAGTTCTAGTTCAGTTCTAGTTCAGTTCTAGTTCAGTTCTAGTTCAGTTCTAGTTCAGTTCTAGTTCAGTTCTAGTTCAGTTCTAGTTCAGTTCTAGTTCAGTTCTAGTTCAGTTCTAGTTCAGTTCTAGTTCAGTTCTAGTTCAGTTCTAGTTCAGTTCTAGTTCAGTTCTAGTTAGTTCTAGTTCAGTTCTAGTTCAGTTCTAGTTCAGTTCTAGTTCAGTTCTAGTTCAGTTCTAGTTCAGTTCTAGTTCAGTTCTAGTTCAGTTCTAGTTCAGTTCTAGTTTCTAGTTCAGTTATAATTTAGTTATAGTTCTTTTTTAGTTTACTTAGTTCTCATTAAAAAGTCTATTTCTACAAAAATCGAAAAAAGTACCTGTGCTAATCAATTATCATTCAAATAATTCCCATTTACCCTTTTTTCTCTCCATCCAGCTAATTCACCAGCCAACAATCTAAATGGTTCGGCCGCCGGTCACACTCCAGCGAATGCCACGAATCATCACCATCACAATAATCACCATCACTACAATGCCAAACAACATGGCAACAGCTCGGGTTGTGTAAGTGCTACTAACAATACCTCAACAAATACAAATCCTGTTTTCTATTTAATGGCCAGCAATGGTAACACTGGTGCTGTAGGCGGCGGCTGTAGTGCCAATGCCATAAGTTCATCGAACGTCACCACCAGCAGTAAACACACAGGACCCTTTTTAGGGCCACACGCAGGCGCCGCTGTCCATCATCCACACTCTCAGCGGGGACTGCATCATTTGGCCGAGGGTCGTAAGGCGAAATTGCGCAGATTTAATTCACACGATACCAGTTCGAATATGTTTTCGGTGGCGGATTTTGAAAATGCCCGCTTGGCAAGACGTAATGAAATCGAATTGAAACAGAGACTGCAACGACGTATGCGTCATGGTTATAGTGGTGGGACAGGTAGTGGAGGTCTTTTAACAGGAGGACCTTGTGGTCAGGGTTTGCTGACAGGCGGTATGGGTGATTATTCTACGGGTGATAGTAAAACTTCGAAAAATAGTAACGAGGTGAGTAAGGATGCAATAGCTGTGGTTTGTTTCAGTTATTATTAATGGCTTTTTTATTTTCATTTACAGTCTCAAAATGAACCCTTGCAGGTGGAAGAGTTTTTGGAACGCTATTCCCTTCCACGTGTGGTGCGCATTTCCTATAAAACACTTTTCTCCAATGAAACCCTACAATCTTCTTCATCCAATAATTCATCCACCGCCACCTCAAACTCATCAACGAGTGCTAAAAATACGGCTCCAGCTACCTCTTCATCCAACGATGCAAATATGTTGAGTTCTAATTCGAATAGCAATACGGGAACCTCTTCTTCAAGTACCTCTTCGGGTATGGGTGTTGGAGTAAATGCTAATCCCTCATCCCAGACTTTGGGTAGCAATAGTAGCAATAATAGTGGAGGTAAAACTTTACCTATGGAGGGTAATCAGACAAATGATAATGCCAATCATAATGGCCAACATGAGGAGGAACAGGGTGAACTATTTTTACTATATCGACTGGTGCGTCAACGTCATATTTATCATGGTCATAATAGTAAGACTACAGCGGCTAATCGAAAAAAGGGTGTAATGATACCACAGGAATTTCCAGGTGAGTTTTTAAGCAATTTTGGAGAGCAGAGTCTTCACTAAATATATTTGTTTAAGTATATTAAAGCATATTTCAAGGAATAATGCAATTTTTTCAAATTCCCAAAAAAATTTGAAAATTTTTCAAAAATCCAGAATTGATTAAAAAAGGAAAATTTTTTAATTTCCAACACAATTGAGTATAATCCTTTTCATTTTGATGATTTTTGTTATAATTGTATGCAAAATATTAACAATTTCTGAAATCCCGGAAATTTGTTGTGCAAAATCACTACAAAATGGATGATTTTAAAAACTGGGGAAATGGTAATTTTCACTGAATGTGTATTTTTAGATAAATATTACCCTATTTCAACATATAATGCAATTTTTTTCAAATTCCCAATTATTTTTACAAATTTCCAAAATCCCACAAATGGTTAAGAAAAAAGGGTAATTTGTTAATTTTCAACGCAATTGAGCATAATTCTCGTCATTTTGATGATTTTTATGCTAATTATAGTAAAATATCCACAAGTTTTTCAAATCCCCGAAATTTTATGTGCAAAATCACTAAAAAATGGATCATTTTATAAACTGGGGAAGTGGTAATTTTCACTAAATACAAATTTTTAAGCAAATATTAGCATATTTTAACAAATAATGCATTTTTTTCAAATTCCCAAAAAAATGTTAAAAATTTCCAAAATCCCAGAAATTTTAAAAAAAGGTGAATTTGTTAATTTTCAACGCAAATGAGCATAATTCCTTTAATTTTGATGATATTTTTGCTAATTATATGCAAAGCATTCACAAGTTTTTCAAATCCCCCAAATTTTGTGTGCAAAATCACTACAAAATGGATCATTTTATAAACTGGGGAAGTGATAATTTTCAAAAAATTTAGTATTTTAACAAATAATGCAACTTTTTTCAAATTCCCAAAAAAAAAATTTAAAATTTCCAAAATCCCAAAAATGGTTAAAAAAGGGAAATTTGTTAATTTTCAACGAATTTTAGTCTAATTCTTTTCCCTTTAATGATTTTTATTGAAATTATATGTAAAAAATGCACAAATTTTGTTAATTCCCAAAATGTTTGGAAAATCATTAAAAAGGGAAAATATTTATAATGTGGGGAAAGTACAATTTTCACTAAAAGTGCTTTGTATTTCATTTATTTTAACAATTTATGTTAAAAACTTTCTAGTTTTAAATTTTTTTCCAAAAATTCCCTAAAATTTTTCTTAAATTTGCAAAATACTGGGACAAATTTTTTTGTAAGGGGAAAGGGAAAATTTTAATAAAAAATTATGAAAATCTTAAAAATACTTATAGCACTTATAAACATTCATATTTTGTTGCCAAATTTCTCAATACTTTTCCAATTCCCAAATATAATTTAAAAATATACAAAATTCCATTTTTGTAGAAATTTCCAAAATCGCGGAAAATTTCAAGGATTTAATTTGAAATGTATAAAATTTGGTTTACAAAAGTTTTGAAATAGAATTTTTATAAATAAATAGTTTATATTAAGAAATTCCTAAGAATTCCCAAAAACTATTAGAAAAATTTCCAAAATCCCAGAAAATTTCTAAAATTTTATACAAAATGTTTAAAATTCTTAAATAAAATGTTTTAAATAACATTTTTAACAATAAATTTGATATATTATGAGACTTTTAACAATTCCCAAAAACTATTTGAAAAATTTCCAAAATCCCCGAAAATTTTTATATGCAAAATTACATAAAAACTAACAAGAATGATATTAAAACAATTATTTTACATAAACGAGCAAATTTTAAGGGTTATTTTTAAATTCCCAAAAAATAACAGAAAATACCCAAAATCCCCCCCAAAAATTTTTACTTGAAAAAAATCATATTATGTTGTTTTAAAAAGGAAAATTACATTTAATTACTATAAAACCTTTTTAACATGGCTTTTTCTTTTAATTTTCCTTTTTTTTACAGTTTTTATTTTGTGTTAAATAATTTATCTACAACTTAATGTCATTAGCATTTATTGGCCTGTCATTAATGTTATAAGCTTCTTTTTATTATACTTAATATTTATAATTTTTTTTTTTTTTTTTGTACTTTTGGCCAACATGCCAAAACACAGTAAGAGTTTAAAATACTTTGTTCACAGTAAATAGTCAACAGTAAGTAATCAGAATCTGCCAGCAAGCCTGCTTGCCTGGCTTCCTCTTAAACTGTGAACTCATAATGTAAACAATTTGTACAACTCGTAATAATAATGCTGCTGGTTGCTATAATGATCCTTTTTTTTGGTAAATTATGAAGGACATGCAATTCTTGGTACAAAGTACTGAGTTGTTGAGTGTTTCTTTTTGCCAAAATAAAGAGAAAAAACTATAACAAAAAAATCTATTACTTTATAGCCAGTAATAATAGCTGTAGTCATATGTGTAAAATGACTGTTTTTTTCATTGTTTTTCCAAAAGACATGTTTAGCCAGGATTAGTATAGAAAATTTAGGAGTTTGTTAAGTGCCAAGTTGTACTTTAAAAAAAAACGAAAAAAAACCTATTTGGTTTTTCTTCTTATGTCTCAAATTATGACTTAAAAGGATAAAACAAATGTCAGCATTTACTGCTATTCATATGCAGAAAGATTAGTTTTCTTTTCTATTGCTGTCTTTGCTGAAAATTGTCAGTAAATATGTATGTGTTTTAAAAGTTGTAATGGAATAAAATATTTCCATAATAATAAAACTATATAATATTTCATGGATTTCAGTTTTGCTGCATTCAAACTAAAGTTGAAGAAATTGTCATTTGTTTTATGGAAATATGCAGAATAGAGAAAGAAAACATATTACAAAATATAAACTAAATGCCAAAGGACATTAAGTTAAAACAAAAAAATATGTTAGCAGTTTGTCAAGTTATTTAGAGAGAAAAAAAGAGATAGTTGAAATGTTAGACTTAATATTTTTAAAAAATATGATTAAATTTTCTTCAAAAAAAACTAAAGGATTTAGTTTTGTCATTATGTCACATAAAACGTTTTACATTTAAAATCTATAGTTTTAAATACTCATGATATTATTTTAAATTCTAGACAATAGGCATTGTTAGAGTTCAGATAAAATTCTTTGCTATAGCCAAGACTGCAGTCTAAGTCCATTCTATAGTCCAGACTATAGTTTATTCTTTAGTCTATTCTATAGTCCAAACAATAGGCTACTCTATAGTCCAGACTATAGCCTATACTATAGACCAAACTATAGTCTATTATATAGTCCAGACTCTAGTCTATTCCATAGTCCAGATTATAGTCTATTCTATAGTCCAGATAATAGTCTATTCTATAGCTCAGACCATAGTCTACTCTATAGCAATTCTATAGCTATTCAATAGTCCACACAATAGCCCATACTATAGTCCAGACTATAATCTCTTCTATAGTCCAAACTATAGTTTCTTATTTCGTCTATTTTATAGTCCAAACAATAGCCTATTCTATAGTCCAGACTATAGTCTATTCTATAGTCCCGACTATAGTCTATTCTATTGTCCAGACTATAGTCTATTCTGTAGTCTATTCTATTGTCCAGACTATAGTCTATTCTGTAGTCCAGACTATATAGTCCGGACTATAGTCTTTTCTATAGTCTATTCTATAGTTCAGACTATAGTCCAAACTATAGTTAGGTTCTATAGTCCAGACTATAGTCTATTCTACAGTCCAGACTATAGTCTTTTATATAGTCTATTCTATAATCCAGACTATAGTCTACTTTATAGTCCAAACTATAGTCTATTCTATAGTCCAGACTATAGTCTATTCTATAGTCCAGACTATAGTCTATTCTATAGTCCAGACTATAGTCCAAACTATAGTTAGGTTCTATAGTCTATTCTACAGTCCACACTATAGTCTATTCTATAGTCCAGACTATAGTATTTTCTATATTCTATATTCCAGACCATAGTCTAATTTATACTCCAAACTATAGTCTATTCTATAGTCCAGACTATAGTCTTTTCTATATTGTATTCTATAGTCCAAACTTTAGTACATTGTATAGTCCAGACTATAGTTTATTCTATAGTTCAGACGATAGTCTATTTTATATTCCACACTATAGTCTATTTTCAAGTCCAGACTATAGTCTATTCTATAGTCTAGACTATAGTCTATTCTATAGTTCAGACTATAGTATATTCCATAGTCCAGACTATAGTCTATTCTACAGTCTAGACTATAATATATTCTATAATCCAGAATATAGTCTATTCTATAGTCCAGAATATAGTCTATTCTATAGTAAAGACTATAGTCTACTCTATAGTCCAGACTATAGTCTACTCTATAGTCCAGATTACAGTCTATTCTATAGTCTAGACTATAGCCTATTTTATAGTCCGGACTATAGCCTATTTTATAGTCCGGACTATAGCCTATTCTATAGGTCGGACTATAGTCTATTCTATAGTCTAGACTATAGTCTATTCAATAGTCTAGATTATAGTCTGTTCTATAGTCTAGACTATAGTCTGTTCTATAGTCTAGACTATAGTCTATTCTATAGTCCAGACTATAGTCTATTCTATAGTCCAGACTATAGTCTATTCTATAGTCCCGACTATTCTATAGTCCAGACTATAGTCTATTCTATAGTCCAGACTATAGTCTATTCTATAGTCCAGACTATAGTCTATTCTATAGTCCAGACTATAGTCTATTCTATAGTCCAGACTATAGTCTATTCTATAGTCCAGACTATAGTCTATTCTATAGTCCTGACTATAGTCTATTCTATAGTCCAGACTATAGTCTATTCTATAGTCCAGACTATAGTCTATTCTATAGTCCAGACTATAGTCTATTCTATAGTCCAGACTATAGTCTATTCTATAGTCCAGACTATAGTCTATTCTATAGTCCAGGCTATAGTCTGTTATATAGTCCAGATTATAGTCTATTCTATAGTCCAGACTATAGCCTATTCCATGGTCCAGACTATAGTCTATTCTATAGTCCAGACT